TTTTACAATTCTGAAGAAAAAAAAGTTCTCAGTTCTTAATGATTAATGAAATTGAATTTTCTTTTTCCTTTCTTTAATTTGTGAATGAATGTGTCAGCTCCATGTCTATCATATATCTATCTATCACATTTTATTTTTCGCAAGAAAAAAAGAAGTTCATGCGTAGAAAGATTGTTCGTTTTGTGTGCGTGAAAAAAATCTTATTCTTAAATCTCCAACTTTCTGGGGAGTTTATTTACATTTCTGATTTTCGTTTCAATGTTTTTCCTACAAGATTTTTAGCCAGCACTTTTTTTTTTTTTTTTTTTCTTTCAAGTTTTTTTTAGGCCTCTTGTATAGAGAGAACCTAATTGTAGTAGTAGCAGTATGAATAGTAACATAAATTTACCCTGGCTGCTGACGCCATTAAGTCACTGTTATGACTACTACGGGAGCGGGTAATTTTATAGAACTATATGGCCACACAACGAATATCTAGGGTAAATTTTATTCGCGCCATAGATTCTCATTAAAATCTCTTATTCTATATTTATGATAACATTTTAAAACATTGTGAATTACAGCATAATTTGTAAAGAGATAATCTGTATAATTCTTAAATCGTCACTTACAGACATAATGTATTGTAGTCTTCACTCGGAACAAACAGTTCTGTTATGGGGGGGTAAAAATTCTACCTTTCTTTTCAAGAATTTGCCACAGCTTTTAATTTAAATATTTCTAATCTTTACGTATACAGTCTATTTTAACAGTTTTGATAAGTAATTAGATATGATTGAAAAGGAAGTGTTTGCTGTTGTTAAGATATGTTTTTTGCTACTTACTATTATTATTTTAGTTTAACTGTCAGTAGTACTTCCTAAAAAATATTCTCTTGTTTGGTTTCATGATATTTTTGTAGCTCTAAAGTTTCTTTTCAATTCATTGTATAAAAAGGTTTTAAAAAATAATTTTAGAATTATTGCGTTTTCAAGTTTGTTTTATTTCCAAATTTTGCCTTTGAAGATCTTAGTTTTTTTTTCTTCTTGGAGAACAATTGTTTAATTTTAACATATAATGCGGACTCAGTTGAATAAAGTCAAGAAGCGTCGAGGATCAGGCTGGACATACCAGGAAACAAAAAGCTTACTTAAGCTTTGGATTGAGTTTATTGTCAAACCAGATGTCAACAAAAGTAATGTAAACAAAGGTGCCAACAACAATAACAATAACATCTACAACCGTGTGTCAGCTCTCTTGCGTTCTCATCAAGTTGTGAAGAGTCCTGATCAATGCCGTGAACGAATAAAGACACTGAAACGTTGTTATCGGCATGTACTTGATAGCAGTGACCAGGGTTTTGATGCTAGTCAATTTGTAGATGATAAATTCAGGTTTGCAGAGGAGATGCAGGTCATTTTGAACAGCAAAACAGATGCAACATCTATGAACAATGCAATTCAAATAGTTGAGGTTTGTAAAAATGTCAATTTTTTTTTTTTTTTTTATTCCAGAAAATTCTTTCTTCAGTACTGAAAAGCTATAAACAGAATTTCTTGTCTCACCATTAGTGAGTTTGATCCTCGCTGGGTGCTCCATAATTGCGGTCTTGTGCCACATCTAACGTTCGTTTTGGAAATTACTATATCTTCCATTGCATGGAGATGAACTTTAGTATGTATGTGATGCTTAACATTGAATGGGTTCTTTGAACATCATCTCTCTTAATTTTTATCAGTTGATAATTATCTAAGAAAGAGTTATGTCCAATTGCAAGTTCCCATATTTTAGGGAAAATTAAGGAAACCAGTAATAACCTTGGAGTAATTGATTTTATTAAAGTCAAAGAAATAGTGTTCATTGAAATGCATTTGTCCTGAATCTTTTATGCCATGTAAATTTTTATGAGTATAGTTTTAAAAAGTTATGCTTACAGCCATGCTTAATTCCAAACTTTGTTTCAAGTTGTGTATATATGCCATTTTATATATTAAAAAATATTGAATGATTTTTGTTAGGGTGCAATGCATTGAAAATTTCAAGATCATTTTAACCTTCTTCTCTAACTGAAAGTGATGACTTTATCATCTTATTCCCTAAACCAGCATGTTCAGATGTTCAATAATCCCAGTTAATCTTTATGAATTTTGTATTTCTGTATTTTCTTTCCTTTTAATGATCTCTCTCTCTCTCTCTCTCTGTCTAGCAAGTGTTTTAGAGTACAGATGCTTTGACATTTTGAATTAAAAGATACTTAAAGAATCCTTCAGAAAATTGTGTGCATTGAATATCAGGTTTTATATTTTGGGGGGCACTCAAGAATTGCTGTTGAACAATTGTTTTTAGCTTTTCATGCTTCTCTTGAGAATCTGTTGTTGTAGTAGTAGTAGTAGTAATACTAATTTTAAAAGTAATTCTCACCTAATGTACAAAATGTCATTATTACATATCTGAAAATTAGTTGTTGAAAAAGTCTTGTTTTTTATCTAAAATGTAACTTCATAAGAAACTCTTTTAGTAATAACAAATTTCAGTCACTGTATAACCTTAGAGATTCCATATTTCTCTTAACTCCTTGTTTGCATTCTGTTCCATTTCATATTACATAACTTAAATTATTACAATTATATATATTTTTGTGATCATTTATTGCATTAATGAATAAAAGATGATAATCATGTCATATTTATGAAAGATTATAATGATTGTTTTTAGGACCAGTTATTGTGATCACAATAATATCAGATTTTCAGTTATAACATGAAGAGAATTTTATTTCAAACAAATAAAAGAATTCACATTAATAGTTTTAAAAACTTTCAGAAGTATATCTTCTCTGAAAAAAAGATAAACAATTCTTTGATTGACACATTTTGCGCAATAGCATCTCTTTATCACTATTCTCTCATAATCTTTATTAAAAACATTTACTTTGCATAAAATTTTCTATACAAAGATCATTTCTGTCATAAATATAGGAAATAATGACCCCCACCTCGTTTGGATTTAAACTATTTGAGCTCTTTTAAAACAAAACCAAATTTTGAAGATGAATTATTCATATAATCTTTCAAATATAACTATTTTATATGTGGATGTTGTTAAAAATCAGGACTTTCTCAAAAATGTGCAAACAGTGAGTACTATTCCAAAATAGATTTAATTAATGACAATAATTCTTTTTTGAACTTAGAAAGTTAATTGTTAGAATCTGATGTTGAAATCACATTCTAAAAGATAAAATAAAAACGTCCATGTTCCATTATGCTATTGTTGAGGGTCAATTAATTATTGGTAACAGGTGAATTCTAGCCATTTTTTTATTTCTACTTTGTCTCACATAAATGCCTTCTCTTTTAAACAAAAAAAACAAAGCTTCTTGTTCATTGTGTATTTGTTTATACAAAAATAAATTATATTTATTTATGTTTAAATAATTTTTTCACAATCCAATTGCCATTTTTAAATAAAATTTAATAAAAAGTATAGTACTATCGAGTCTTTCTAAAAAAAAAAAAAAAAAAAAGAAAATTCAATTAAGCCGTCGCAAGCTTTTTTTTCTTCGCCTTCAAGGCCGCCTAGAATTTGGAAAGATGCCGACCCTTCTTTTTTCTATGTTTTTTGTCTATAACGGAAGGTAAATGCGGACAATTCTTTATGTCCATGTTTAGGGATTTGACAAGATAAATTTTTTTATGTTCGTTTCTGGGTGACCGGAGAGTCTTCTTCACTATGTTCCTTTCTGGGTGACCAGATTTTTTTTTTTTTTTTTTAAACAAAAAAAAACAAAACAAAAAAGATGTTTGAAACTGAAATGGAACGTTCATATCGCGAATTTAGCATTTGGCAGGCGTGAGCCAGGACCCTTTGGCTGGTCACAATCTTATTTAACACGGGGGAATCATTTGTACTACATTTTCCGAAAAGAGATCGAAGAAAAGTTCAATACAATCCCATTAACCAGATAATAAAAACAATTTTAGTTTGTAAACAACAGTTTTAACTTTTTCTTCAAACAACGCCGACAATAAGGTTTTCATTTTTACTGTACATCAAACAATAATGCTCAGCAGTTTCTTTTTTTTTTTGTTTTTTGTTTAATGATCACAGTAGGGAAGCTAGTAAGTTGATGACACACTAACAGAGGCGTAAGGAGATGGTGTAGTTGTTATCTCAGTAACTTGTATGCTATGCAACAGTACAGTTCTTTAACTTTTAGTCTCCCCCCCTCTCTCTTCTTTTCGTTGTTGTTTTAATGTTATTTCAAGACAACTCTTTTTTAAAGTAAATCTTAAATATTCTGAACTGAATTTGAACTTTCAACCATTCTGAAAATTTCAAATGCAGTTCATTTGTTTTTGTAATTTACGCTGCAATTGTCATCAATCGTTTATAGTTTAATAATGCTTGAACTTGTCTTCATCTATAGATTTTTTTTTTTTTTTTTTTTTTACCGAAAAAAAAAAAAATTGAAGAATTTCAAACTTCTGAGAACGATTAAAGGATAAATTCTGTTTTAACAAAGTTGATGCAAAATTTGTTTTTCCAATTTTTTTTGTACAATTATTAAATTTTACATTATTCAATTAAAGGGAAAGTGATTTCATTATTAATTTGACAACACGTTAAAATATCAGTATGGAGTAATTAATTTATCCGTGTTAAAGCTGTTTTATTACCTATTTTTAATGATGGTATGTAAATACATCTTGGAAACAATTATATCAAAATAAAGTTATTTTTATTTCTTTTATATTGTAAATGTAAGATCACACTTGTGCCTATCATTAAAAAAGTAAAAAAAAAAAAAAAAAGGTAGCGGTTTTGTTTCGACCAATCGGCGATCGGCACTCAAATGCCACGCCTCCTTTCCCTGTCATGCCGACCATTTTAGTTAGTCAAGCTTTTTATTTATTTATTTATTTATTCATTTACCGTCACACAAACCTACATTCTTTCTTGTTTTGTTGTTTATCCGGGTCCGATTGTATCACATCTTTATTATTAGCTTCATCATCGCTATGGTGAAGCGGTGTGCTTGGGGGTTGTGCAACACGGACGATCGCTACCCAGAACGTTTGGCCGGCGGGGTAAAGTTTATACCGTTTCCAAAACCGAGACGACAACATGAGAAATGCCTGCGATGGATTGATCGCTGCGGGCGGATTCCAGAACAACTCAATGTCAGAATTGTCGACGGTAATAAAAATCTCTACGTCTGTTCAAAGGTGAATAACTCAAGACTTCGTAAAATTCCTATCTTTTCTTCTCACGTTACACCCCCAACCCCATTTGTATGATTTTTATTCTCTGTCCATTTCAGAATGAGATTGTCAGCAGTCCCCTTCATTGTGCATAGAGAATATTTTTGATAATCTGACAAGTTGTGATGAAAAAGCAATTATGTCTTCATTCTTTTAATCCAAGATTGGATGTATTTTCCAGGCAATTGAATATCACTTAATTTTAGTTGAAAGGTAGATTTATTTTTGTTTCAATGTTTCTTTGTAAGCAGTACTACCAAACTCTGCAATTTAGATAAGTTTTCATTCTTTATTTTATTTTTGTGGTTCTAGGATTAGTTTTGTTGAATTGATCTTGAGGCTTTTACAACTAACCATTACATAAGCAGCGACTGATCGAATGGATTAAACTCGAACTATTTCCTTTCGTTCCCCCCCCCATTTTGATCAATTTCTTCTACGCTTCCTTAACAATCAAAAATCAAAACAATTAAAGGTTTTAAATCTAAACTTTCATTTGTATTCTATTGCAAATATTTTAAAGGCTTTTTTATTGCAACAATATTTGTCAGGTTACCACTATCATTATTATTGTAAATAATTGCAAGTTATTGGCAAAGTACGTTGATTAATAGGTGAATTCAGAATTACTTATTCAACAATTAATGAATGCCAATTAAAAAATTTTATTTTATTTATTTATTTATTTTTTTCATGGATATTATTATATGTTTTCTATATTTTCGCGGATTTATTTTGGCATCAGAAGTTCATTAAGGATTATCGGATCATTATCTTAAACCAAAATTAACTCAACGATGTATCATGGTTTAATAGTCAAGTAAATTAAAATTAAACATTGGATGGCAGGACTGGAGACAATTTAGGCAATTAACTATAAACTATTCGGTAAAATATTTCATATTCCCCATTTCTCATATATATAAAGGATTTATTTCTAATCCGACCCTTATTTGAAATAGACGGCCCTATTTAAAATGTGGGGCGTCTTTCATATAGGGGTATCCACTGACTAAAATAACATTTGAAATTTAAATATATGTATTATTGTATATTCTGCAAAGCAAAATTTATTAATTTTACAATAAAATTAATAAATTTTAGAGTTTAATATTTTCAAGAAATTTTGTCTAGAGCTATCGATGTATGTTATTGCTGTGTTAAAAACGAGGATCGAGTCAAATATATATATATATATATATATATATATATATATATATATATATATATATATATATACCTCCCTTTTTTATTTTAATTTAAAATATGAATAGAAAAACATCCGCGCACTTACTTCCGGTGAAAATGACGCCATTTTCCTTTCTTGTCACGTGACTGCGGTACAAACAGCTCGTCTAGCCTTCCTTGAATACGAAAATCCAATAATTTAATTCATGTTGTAAAAAACAGTTTCTACTCTTTTTTTTCCGTAAGATTTTTTTTTTTACGTCTTATTATTTGAAAACTAAAATTCTTCACGCCTGAGCGATGGTCACCAAACGTTGTGCATGGGGTACTTGCCGTAGTGATAGTCGGTACAAGCACAAGCCATACATGCTGGGTATATTTTTTATATCTTTCCCTAAACCCAAGAAAAAGCTTGAGAAATGCTTGCGATGGATCGCCGCATGTTGTCGGCCTTTCTACCAGCTGAACGTTAGCAAAATCAAATCGCACCACTTCGTCTGTTCCAAGGTAAGCTCACAGTTTAAAAAAAAATGTTATTGATAAGTTGGAAAGAGCTATTTTTTACGAATTTTATTTAGCAGTTATGGAGATTTGGCTATTTTTTTACTTCAGTAGCGTAGAACAATATTTTTATTTTCTGTATGGTGTCCGAAATAATAAAGGTGGGGATTCTATATTTAAAAAAAATTTATATATCTAGATAGAACATACAAACATTGGATAGTAAATATGTCGGTGTAACTATTTGTTATATTGGAGTTGGACTTATAAATGTATTTCTATATTTATTTTATGCTTTTATTATTAATATACTTTCTTTCTTTTTTTGTATATACTTCATTAGGAAGTTAAACCAGTTGTACGAAATGCGCATGTGCTGTCTCGAAAGGTCGCATTTTTCTTTTTCCTGAGTGAAGCTTGCTTTATTGCTCCAGACTGTGTCACTTCATTGTTTTTATTTATTTAAACTTACAACTGTTTGTAATTTTCATTTAGTTCACGGATATCAGATCTCTTAATTTTTCACTTATATTTTTATTGTTGTGTTTCTTCATATTTACATGAAACAGATTTTTTTTTCTTTGCGGAATCCTTTCTTCTGTCTGAAGCTATCATCACTGCTGCTGCTGCTACTATTATAAACTCTGAACTGCGTCATTTCAAACATCGGAGCGCCTTTTTAGGTGTTTCTAGTCTTCAATCAAGACAGATCATCAACTGTTTTTCGATAAATTAATATTTACTTTGTATTCGAGAAGACGTGCAAATCTGAAATTTCAATTCCATATTAAAACGATTTCGTCCTGAATGGAAGAAAATAATTGTAACTTTCTGACTGAGGCGTAGGTTTAGTTGTCATTAAAAAAAATAATTTATAAAATTGAATTTTTCCTTTCGGAGTTAGTTTTCAAAAGTACTTTTTTTGTTTTTTTAAAAAAATAGCGCAGTATAATTGGATTTATTTATTTACGTTTCATCTGTTAAAAAAAAAAAACACTATGAAGAAAAACCTAAATCTGTCGGTGTATCCTCAGCGCCAAACACTCAACAATACTGCCACTACTCCTCTGACCATGGCAGAATTGATTAGAAAGAGAAAGACTGATGCCCAGAGACGTCGAAGACACTCGATGTCTCCAGCTAGAAAGGAAGTAATGAAGAAAAAAGCAGCCGAAGCACAAAGACTAAGGAGAGCAAGTATGACAGCCGAAGAGAAAGAAAAACGCCGACAAGCTGATCGAGAAAGATATGCCCGGATGGCTACTCTTAAACGTCTAATGAGACCGCCGATCGAATCGGCTTTGATTAGCAAACACCAGTTTTTGCTCAGAAGAAGGAATTCTTTAAATAATTTTAACAAGGATTGTAAACAATTGGCTGAAGAAAAACAAAACGATTCATGTCACCCTGTTTTTGAGGTGAGCTGATGATGACCCTCTACCATAAGGGTGTGTTAAATTATTAAATTCGTTAATTGTAACTATTTTAATATAAACTCATTTTATTAGGCGTTTTTGTCTTGAAAATGTTCTAGAATTTCAGGAATTTTTTTTCTTTCAATCATATATTTTTTGTTAATATTTGCAATATTTCAGATTAATCCCCCTTTCTTCCAAGGTTCAAGGTAAATTGGTCGCCAGTCAATTTGTCACTCCGTCAATTCGTCTCCAGTATCTATTTTAATTGGTTTATGTTTGTTAGCCTATACTCGTAGGATCAACATGGCCACCTGCAAGATCACCATTTCAGAGAAAGGCAAAAACAAAGTTATAGATAAAGAAAATTATAGATATACAAAAAATAAAGAGAATGCAGACGGATCTACGATATATTGGAGGTGTGAAAATCGTGCATGCAAGGCTCGACTTCATACGAATCAAAGTTTTGAAGAGCTAAAAAAAATTGGAGTACATAATCATGCATCAATAGCGGCAGAAGTAAGTGCAAGAATCATATATATATATAAAATTTCGGTTATATACGTAAAAACTGCATATTCAGAATGGTAATTTTTTTTAAGGTCCCCAACCAGTGACAGCAAAACACTAGCGTGGGGTTAGTCTCTGTTTTCCTGAATGTCATAACAGTTATAATAACGGAGAAATTAAAATAATTGTTAATGTGGGTGTGGGGAATTAATAATAATTTAATGATAGTAATGCATACACGCCTGTATTTCGATATCATAAAAATCAGGGTTTTTTTTTTTTTTTTTTAAATTTTCATCTTGGCGACGAATTGATTGTATGTCTTTTCATTGGGGAAGCGGGGGTTTTGAATTTTATAAATCACTAATAATTAATACTAATAAAAATAACCTTTTAAACTTTTATAACATTAATAATCTTAATATCGTGCCATGTTCCACAATTCAATAAAAAAAACTTGAAGTTCTTACTATTTTGTAAGAAGAATATCAATTATTGAGTTGTCATGGTAACTAATCTAACCCTGTTTTAGTTTTCATAAGAGACTACTTTTTAGTCACTAAAAAATTTTTTCCAATGTTCTCATAAGGGTCTGTCTGGGCTTCGGATTAGCTTATTGGCTAGGCTCGTTACCACAATCTTTACAGGAAAAATTAATTTTAAAAAATCGTTTATTTTTGTGGTTTAGCAACTTGTAAAATAAGTGATAAACAGCATGTTGAAAAATAGATGTGACTACTATTATACCTACTGTTACAACATCAGATATGTTGTAGCAGTAATACTTCTTGTCGATAGTGCTGTGTTAACGTTTTTCTTTTGTTTTAGATTTCTTGTAACGAACATTTTTACATGTTTAAATTGTAAATTATGAAGACTGAAGAGTAAGACTTGGTCACTTGATAGCTGTATTTTTGCAAAGAATTTTAAAGCTTTGATCGTAGCAAACGAACCAATTTCGATATTTTAGAAGTGTGGTAGCAACGGCAGTAGGAGTCAGTTGTCAATAATAACGACAGAATAAAACCACGGGCTTTGTGTGTGTGTGTGTGTGTGTGTGCGCGCGCTCGCGCACTGCCGTCACCGTCGTGGACTCTCCCTCCCTTTTATCAGTCAGAATAAGTAAGCAAGCATTGCTCTTATTTTCCTCCCTGCCTGTCTGCCTGCGATCACATCTCGCCATGGTGCGCCGATGTGTGTGGGGCTTGTGCAATGCCGACGAAAGGTACCCAGAGAGGATAAATGGGGGCTTTTTTATTCCTTTCCCAAAGCCACGCACCAAACTAGAGAAATGCTTGCGATGGATTGAAGCGTGCGGTCGGCCTTACTCTCAACTAAATGTATTCAAGATTGATCAGAATAAATATGTGTGTTCTAAGGTAAGACTAACAACCACGTAAAAAGAAAATTATATATTTGTTGAGCCATCCACGGCTTGAGAGTATCTCTTTTCCTTTCTCTTCCCTCTCTCTCTCTATAATATAAATATACATATATATGCCAGCTTGTCCATTACATAGTCGTAGTAGTAGAACTACTAAAAGCACGCATGACTCTACTAGTGTTGCTACTACCACATCCGATATATGATTAAAAAAAACTATTTCCTTTTTCCATATTCTTTATGAAACGGGAGAAATGTTTTCTTATCTAACATTAACAAATAAGCGCGATTTTATCCATTCTCTTTTCTTTTCAGAAATATTTTGCACTTAATTGCAATATTCGCATTAAAAGTAAAATTAACTTACTTCCTTTTCTTCCAAGTGTGTGTGTGTGTGTGTGTGTGTGTGTATTGAATTTCTAGTATTTAAAAAAAAAAGTAACGATCTGCCTTACCGTGTCTGTGTCCATTACCATATATTTTTTTATTAAAAAAAAAAAAACTGATTTAGTTTTGTTTTACTAAATTACTGATTTTTTAATTTTATTTTTGTGTTACTTTTTTTTTTTACTTTTCTCAATCTGCATTTACAAGCGTGATAATATAATACTTTGAAAATTTACATTATCGAATGACTTCATTTTATCGTTTTCAAAAATAAAACTTTATTTTTCTTATCTTTTAGAAAATTTGTAATCCCCTCCACCGCGTAATGAATGTTTACGATTTATTCGCATATTGTTTAACGTTGGCTGTTCTTTATTTGTTTTTTACACAATTTATTATCGCCTTCATATTTTTTCTAGTGATAAACTAGCGATCCTTATTTTATTACGATTTATATTTAAATTTATCAATTTTTTTCTCTTCACGGTGGAGGTGACAGTTGAGTAATTTTGAGGATTTCGCTTACACTATTGCTAATGCTGTCAATTTTTATACTTCCTCCCGGATATATATTTTTGTCTACTCTACTCCATTCTATAATGACCTTCATCCAGCCACCTCCTGTCGTTTATCTAGTATTTACATTTGTATACATTTTTTGTGAATAAATACCAAATGTACTAATAAATACAATAGTGACGTCATATTTTCTTCGCGCCATTTGTCGACGCTTATAATGATCATTTTGTGACGTCATCAGTTATAGTGATCACGCAATAATGTCACGTCTTCATTTACAAGACGAATAGAAATTAAGCTTAAAGAGGTCACGAAAACAAAAATGTTAGATTTTTTTCCCCTGTTCGGTTACTAAGAAAAGTAAGTAATGAAACAAACGCCCTTGAAAATTGAATGCTTTGTTTGCATCAGACACAAAAAAATACCTTCTCCGACTCTTTTCATCCGAATTTATTATAATTTATTTTAATCATCAATATATATATATCTCTCGTCGTTCCAAGGAATTTTTTTTTTCAATATGTCAAAACCAAGACGACGAGTAACCCTCTCGCTAGGGAGAAAAGCAGAAATCTTAAAAGAAATAGACGAGGAACGTTCGCAGGGCACGATCGTAAATCAACGCGAACTAGCTCGTCGCTATGGTATTGCCCAATCAACCTTAAATAAGATGATGAAAGAGAAACCATCTATTCACAGAGATTTTGTCTACGGACCTATGAATAGTAATCGAAAAAGACGGAGAAGCGGGAAGGATGCCGATATTGAGGGCTCTCTTTCTCAATGGCTTAATTCGATGAGCGAAAATGGGCGTCATGTAGATCGAGGATTGCTGAAGGAAATGGCCGAAAAGTTCGCTACACGGCTGGGCAAATTAAACTTTCGACCCACAAATGGTTGGTTGTCGCGTTTTACGAAACGATCGAATCTCGAGGATAAAAATAAAACTGCTAATAATATTAAAGAAGATGAAGAAACAAGTGAAAAGGATTTCCTGCTTGTGCCAGTGAAGGTAAAAAAATAATAACATAAAGTTATGGTCGTGGTTCAATTATTCAGCGGCCAAGTGTTTTTATTGCTTTATTTTTATTATTTATTAATTACCGAAATAGTGTTTAAATTTATACCAGATAGCGTTAACGTTTGTCCCGTTTTTAGAAATATTTCGTCTTGTAGCCTCAAGATTTTAAGTTAACTTTTTTTGTTTATTTGATAAAATAATAGTTTTGTTTTTTGTTTTTCTTTTAAAGCTATTTTCTTGGCTCAATCAATATCAATTGTTCATGTTTTGTTTATGAAAAAGAATAATATTTGCATTTACCATCGAAGCATTTTTTTTTTATTCTTTTTTAAGCTAAGAATGAAAATTCCGTTTTCCATTAATTGTCGATATTGGAACACAGGGAAAGTTGTTCTGTCTGATAATTTTATTAATGCAGATGTTTTCTGTAACACATTCTGACTGTGAGGGAAGTTTTTTTTTTTTTTTTTTTTTTTAATGAATAATAGTCTGTCTCATGGGAATTTTGGGACCCGTGGAATATCAATATTCTAGAACTTAAATTTTTATTTGAAAGCTAATCCGTATTTAAAAAAATGAATTTTCCTACGTAATTTTTTTTTTTTTTTTTTTTAATTACTTTTTTACGCATTTTTAAAACATTGGTAAATTCACTCGTCACTCATCGAAGCTCTTCTTACAGAGGTCAAATAATAAATCTGAAAACCTCATAAAAAATCCAATCCTATGCTTCGAAGTAAGGGTTAACTAACTGGAAATGTAAAGCTTACTTTTTGCTTAAAATATGAAAATAACGTCGCTTGTGAGGTCAGAGGTCAACAGCTATAAATATCTATTTCAACCCCTCTTAAAAAACGCGGGAATAATATTTTTTAAAAAATTAAAGAAATACAGAACACCAGCATTTTAATCTAGAAATTAGTATTCATGTCTAAAAATAATTCATCTGATATAATTTCATATATAAATAATAGTTAACAATAACTTCATATATAAAGAATATAATTTTTTTATTCTATACGATTTTTATGAAACTTAATAATTTTATTCTTATATTTCATTAGAAATTGTTTAATAACTTAATTTTTTTACACATTTGATGTCATAAAACATTTAATTGTACCCAGTATGTTCTTTTTCTAATTATTCTTAATTTAAGTTATTACCATAGATGATATTAGTTTTAAAGTAGACAAATGACAGCAATTCAGAATTATTTCCATTTTAAACATCCATACAAAAAATAATCTTAACAGTTGCTAAAAAGAAAAAAATTTCAAATTCTTTTAAAAAAAAAAAAAAATGTTCACACTTGAAAATGGCATTAAACATTGTTTTTTTATTCTTCAAATGTCTTTATTTTTTTTTTAAAAATATGAAAAAACAAACTAACGAATAGAAAGTGATTTGTTTTTTTTTTGTTTTCTCTGTACAATCTAAAAGAAAAGTACCAACTGTCAATTGTTTTTTGAGTTTTATTGAATTATTTTTGGTACTGTTTGGGATTAATTTTTTATATGATCACACTTGATATTGCATAGGTATTTTACTGAAATAACATCTTTATGGAATTTTCTTCATATAACTGTAACCTAACCCTGCACTATTAAAAAGTACACTTGAGATATCAAAAAGGTGGGGTGGGTGAAAACAGGCCATGCAAAAAACATTTCCACAAGGTTTTCTAATAAAATAAACTATTCAGTATACAATTTATTGATTAATGGATAAATACTTAGAATTATCCAATTCAAACCAAATTTTATGATTTTTAGCAAATCTTTCTAAAACAGGATAGCTTCAGTTGTTTTATTTTTTTTTTTTTTTAGCTTTCTTAAAAAAAGAAAACATGTCCATTTTGGTGGTACCTACAATATTCTATTGGACCTAGAATATTGTTTTTATTTTCCACTTAATTCTTTGTAGGTAGAATGATGCAAGATGCTCTAAGTATTTGAGCCCACATTTTTAGTGGGCCATAAATGAAAGATGACCCAATGTTATGTTATGCAGCATATGCCAGATTTTAACATTCTAATTTTCTTTCAGGTGTATCAAGAGCATTAACATGACAATCTGATACAAGAAAAGAAATGGCACACAATATGTTCGTAGCATGGTGAGTCTGGAACAATAAGCTTCTTGTAAGTAGCCAAGTTGACAAGAGGCCCTGCACAGACTCCATGAAGGTACACACGGTGATGAACATAAAGATGACATCATCTGTGATGGTTGTGGGAGTTACGAGTAACAAGGGCTATCCACCACAATTATTCTTGTCAATTCTACTGTCTACATCGTGCTGGACACCGTGGTTGGCCCCTGCATTGAGAGATTGTCTGTTTTGTCCAGTATGATTTGGCTCTCTTCTGCATGGCCCACATTACTCAGGAGTAGCAAGCCAATAATTTTTTTTTTTTTTTTTTTTTGATCGTGTCAGCTCTTAATTTCCTTGATTTGAATGCTCTTGGATATCAAGGCAGAACAACTTGTGGCCTCTCAATCCCAAGGACTTGTTGAAGACCATAATCTTGGACACGATGCCAAATATAAACAAGTATTATCAGAGTATGCGGTTATGTTTGAGGCTGTGACTTTGTTTTATTTAATAGATTTTTTTTTTTAATATACTCTTCTCCTCAATATTATTTTATATTATAATTTGTTCTCACATACTTGATGCACCATGTATGTATTTATTGCCTCTTTTTTTATGCTAAAAATATCAATTACCATAATTTTCAATTTGTTTACTGCAGTCCATGTTGATATCAAATAAACAAAAATTATTTTTATAAACATTTTCTGGATTAAATACAAATCCATGCACAGTAAAAAGTTTTGTAAAGTGGCTACAGAAATTTCAACTAAATTTCTCTAAGTTGGAGAAAAAAATGACTTAAATTTAGAGAAATTTTTCAATAAACAGCAATAACGATTTTTTGGTGAGTTTTAAATGTTTGCTTTGTTAATATGTCAGGATAAACTTAATTTAATCTGAATTAGATATTATTTACTTTCAGTTTAAAATATTGCAGAAAATCATTTTTTTCTGTTTTTACACAAAG